CTGATGGTACGGCTTAAGCCGACCAACGTAAAACGTGGGATGCGTTCGCATCTTACGTGGTAACTCGATCGTGTATGCATTGCCTAGGCGGTGCAATACACGAAATGGGCCAATGTACTTGGGTAGTAGTTTACTGCTACCCAAGTTAGTCACTACATGCTTTGGTAGAGTAACCGTAGACAGTAGGACTAAGTCACCTTTATTAAAAAAAAGAGTGTTTGCCCTTCCATTCTTGTCAGCGTTTTGCTTTTGCTTATCCACCGCTTCGGCGATGGAGTCTTGCACAAAACGGACTACCGTTTCACGAGCCAGTATGAACTCATCTGATGACTCGTTAGCTTCAGTGTGCTGTGAGCGCACTGCAGCGACAACAACCTTTTCTTCAGTGAGGGCTTCCGCACTCTCACTGGGATCATTGTCTTCAGTGAGGGCTTCCGCACTCTCACTGGCATCATCTTCTTCGATATCGATGTTATCGATATCGGCATCAAACGCAATGACTTCTTCGTCAGAGCGTGATGAGCGTGAACCAAATCGTTTTTTGCTCGCGCGAGTCCCTCCCCCCTTAAACCAGAGTTACACTCTAGTAAGGTGGGTACACGCGGATGGCGCAAGCCATTCACGTAAAACGGTGTATGTGTCGTGGACGCATGCACCGAGTTGTTGATGGCAAACTCTACCATCGGCAAAAACTCACTCCAACTCTTAAAGGAGTGTACGTATCCTCGAAGTATCTCTTCAAGGACACGATTGGCACGTTCCGTCTGACCATCTGACTCTGGATGATCAGATGTCGACATCTTCAAGCGCGTTCCGAGTGATTTGAACACGGAACGCCAGAAATCAGCAGTGAATCGTGGATCTCTGTCTGATACGAGTTCACGGGGCAACCCATGAAGTCGGAAGATGGTGTCAATAAAGACACAAGCACAGCCACTTGCCGTGATTGTCTCTGGTACAGCCACAAGGTGTACCATTTTGCTGAATCTGTCAACAAATACGAGAATACCCGTATTCCCGCGTGCGTCTTTGGGTAACCCGAAGACGAAATCCATTGAGATGGATTCCCAGCACTCAGCCGGAACTGGTAGAGGCTGTAAAGGTGCACGCAGTGAAGGACTTGACTTCACTCGTTGGCAGACTTCGCATGCGTGAACATACTTTCGCACAAACTGATACTGGCGGGGCCAGTAAAAGTCTCGACTTACCGTGAGATATGTTTTCTCTCGGCCACGATGTCCTCCTATTGGAGCATCGTGATACTCGAACGTGATCCCTGGACGCAGATCAGTATCATCTGGAATGACAACACGTGGTGTGTCACCAGAAACGGCTGTATAATACAGTAAACCGTTACGAGTAGTGTATCGATCTGATGCAGATCGATACGCAGACGACAATCGTTTCAAAGATTCTCGGGATGGTTGGGAGAGATGTGACAACAACTTCACAATCTCACCATCTTGGGCGTATGCCCGCCTCATATCATCATACAACGTTGTAGATGGAACTGAGGACGTCATAACCGCAACAGTGACTGTCTCACTGTTGGGTTTCGCGACTGTTTCAAAGTCGGGACGACGTGAGAGTGCATCAGCGACGACATTAAGTCGTCCTGGTTTGTACTCGACCGTAAAGTTGTATTCTGTAAAGAATGACAACCACCGCGCCATTCGTTGTGAAAGGTGCGGGCTGTTCACTGCCGTGCGTAAGGACGCATGGTCAGTGTAAACAACGAAGGGTCTATCTCCTAATAGATAGACTCTGAACTTCGTGAGCGCATACTTCATGGCAAGGAGTTCCTTGTCATGCACTGGATAGTTCCGCTCAGCTGGTTGCAGCTGACGCGACTGATAGCAGACGACGCGTTCAACGCCTTCAAGATCGTACTGCATTAATGCACAGCCGATTGCGAAATCGCTGGCATCACAGACCACATGAAATGGCCTGTCCTGATCGGCTATTGCTAGGACTGGGGATTGTATCAAGCTCTGCTTGATACCCTCAAAGGAGCGTTGACATTCAGCGTTCCATAACCACCTCTCGTTCTTTTTCAACAAACGAGAGAGGTGTACAGTCATCTCGGCGTAATTGCGTGAATACTTATGCAAATACGCCGCTAGCCTAAGGAATTTTCGAAGACCTTTGACATCGACCGGCACAGGCCAGTCGGTGATCGCCTTGATCTTTTCGGGATCAGGACGTACACCGTTCTTACCAACGATGCACCCAAGAAGTGGTATTTCGCTTGCTGCAAATATACACTTCTTGAGGTTTGCATACAATTGATGCTTTCGCATGATTGTAAGAACTTGTCGGACGTGGTACTTGTGAACCTCAACGTCCGACTTTCCATCCATAGCTCGACTATGGATGAATACGTCATCGAAATAACTCGGCGCGAATTCTCGTACTGGCCTCAACAGATGTGATACACACCTGTTGAACGTGGCAGGGGCATTACTGAGCCCTTGTGGCATTACTAGCCATTCCCAGAGCATGCCGCTAGGCGTGCTAACTGCGGTATAGGGTATATCCCGTTCCCGCATTAGGATTTGATAGAAGCCATCCATCAAATCCATGGACGAAAAGATGGTACTCTTTGACATACCATCAATGATTACGTCCTTCCTCGGTATCGGCGTTTGAGCCGGTACCGTTGCAGCGTTCAATTTGTTAAACGCGTGCACTATCCGCCACCCTCCTGTTGCTTTTCGCACACAGAAGGTCGGAGAGCTATGTGGGGAAGTTGATTCCCTCACATGGCCCGCTGCTAAACGATCGGCAAAGAACTTGTCGATCGCAAGTACTTGTTCACGAGGCAGTGGCCACTGCTTCATGACACAGTACTTCGAGCCTGGTTTAAGCTCGACTTCGTGTCGAATACCTTTATCCTTCGGTAATTCGCACGGAACAGTTTCAGGGAATACATCCTTGAATTCAACCAAATCTTCATAGAGAGGATTTTCCTTGAGCGATTCCCATGATTGGGAGTCATATCGCTCAATTCGTGTCTTTTCATCTAGGACACTCTCGTCCATAGATGAACTACTGAGAACTCTCTCGTTCTCAGTAAACACTGTTGCTGACCTTATGTCGGTTACATACTCGTCGTCAGCGACGAGTATGCAGATCTGCTTGACTTTGCCACTACGCAGATCACGCAAGAACCTTTTATGTTCGAGCGTTGGCAACTGAGTGATCTCCGAAGTTAACTTCGGAGGCGCAATCAGATCAAGTGTATAAGCGCCTACACATGATCCGTTATTGACTATGACATTCATTGTCTCTGTCATTTCCTGGGGACTTATTCCCTCAGGCTTCGAAGGACTTATTCCTTCGTCTTCCCGGGGACTTATTCCCGCGGGTGTCGGGGAACTTATTTCCGCCGTATTTGTAATATTGGGACTTATTCCCTTTACTTCCTCTAGCTGGGGTTGCGCAACCACAGCGAGATCCTCTACGAAAGACTCTCCAGTCGATCTAGGATTATCGTTTCGCTTAACCTGAGCGATCGATTGTTTCTCTTCTAGATGTTCCCCTCTAGGGATACATCTTTGTCCCAGTCCACCCGACTTATTCGAGTGGTCGACCTTCGGCGCAGCCTGTGTTTCCTCACAGCCGCCGGAACTTTGCTCCGAAGTGTAACCGTTTGGTACACTAAGGTTTTGTGCAGTCGTACTAACGACCGTACCACAAGTGAGGCCATCGCACTCACTCGTAGTACATCCACACGCTTGTGGACGCTCCAAAACGTTCATCAGATGGCCATCTGATGAACAAGCGGCAGGCATCGTTACTGTCCGATGTTGCCAGTTTACTCGTGGTTCGTACCTTCTGAGCCACGGTATTCCAAGGATGACATCAAATTTGTCATCCAAATCCAATACGATAAAGTCATCGTCGTATTGGGTATCTTCTAGCGTATAGTGAATCTTCACTATACGCTTCATGACTGTTACGGATGCGCCTGTCGCAAGACGTACCGTCATCCTCGTAGGAGGTGTGTCACATTCACTGAATTTAAAGTGACCATCTTCTAGCGATTGGCGTCGCACAAAATTGTTGGACGCCCCACAATCGACTAGAGCTCGAAGGGACAACTTGTTCGTCACTTCGAGTTTCAAGGTAATGAGTGAGATCTCATTACCTAGAGCAGCAACGCACAACGTCTGTGTGTTGGGAGCAACCTTCATCAAGAGGCCTACAAATTCTCTTGACGTTGCTGGATCAGTAGGGTGCTCCGCACCTACTGATCCCTGTCCGTTTTTTGACGGTCCATCCCGTTGTTGCGTCTTTGCACCAACTGCGGACCCTCGTCCCTGCCCCTTTCTCATGGGTGGACGGTCACTACGCCCAGTGTCGCGAGAGACTGGACGAGGGGCACTACACTCGTAAGCGTAGTGTCCTGTCTTCTGACATCTGTTGCATCTCTGCAACTTCTTGTAGCCTGTAGAGCGAACCTTCTCGCTCTCTACATAACAGAGTTCCATCGGCTCTGGACCTCCGTTGTCATATCGTCTCGGTTGACGATATGATGTCGAGCTGGCGCGAGCCTGTCTCAGACTGAAGTCTTCCTGCTCCGCAATGGAAATGGCTTGTTCTAGTGAATCTAGTTCAAGCCGGAACAGGTGAGTCTTGACGGGACCATCCGCAAGACCCTGCATGAACACCGAAACCAACGTGTGTTCATCCACTGGATTGGAACTTATACAACTCGTAAGATGTCGTATGTGTTGAGCGTAAGCGTGCACATCACGCTTACCCTGCTTGAGCTTCAAGAGTTCGGTTCGAGCCCTGAACTCAGCTCTAGGCGGTTCAAACGTTTGTCTGAGCCGCGACTTGAAGACTTCCAACGACCCAAACGCATATGGGTCGTGCAGCTTGAGCCCCAGTGCCCAAGTCTTGGCACGTCCTGCCAGATTTGATTGGGCAAATGCAACTTGCATATCCCCGTCGTCGATGCGACGCGCCCTTATGGCGTCATCCAATTCGACGAATTATCTCAAGAGGGAGTCTTCTTCGACCCCTCTATACTTTGAGATGTCAATCTTCAAAGTCTCGGGCCGACGCGAGTGCATCGACCCGCCAGCAGCAGCCTGCTGCTGTCTCAACAGTTCAAACTGTTGAGCACCTTGTTCTCTCAACAACTCTGCTTGTTGAGAACCTTGTTGGTGAAGCAAGGCTACTTTCTCGCGTTCAGCGTCAAGTTCATTTTGAATGAACTTGGCGATAGTAGCATGTTGGGCATCTCTATTGAGAGCCTCTAGCATGACGCTAACAGCATGGATGCCCATGGTCGAACCCATTCGTTAAACCGCATCCCATTCGACATCACTCAAATGGGAGTAGCCGTCACGCGTAGCGTGAAAGCTTTGGTCATCTTCATCATCCAACATATTCATGTTGGATGTGAACGTGGTCCTTGGACGGACTACGAAGTGCTACCAGGTGTAACGGGGAACCCTGTAGCTTGTACTGATGACAGTACAAGCTACTTATTCTGATAACAGAATAAGGCGGTGCCTCGTAACTTCACGTACACTCGTACGTGCAGAGGAAGACGGTAAGAAGAAGCGAGTACTTGGTTAAAGTAAAAAGTAGAACTGTATTTATAATAGTTAATGTCTGCAATAAATCACTATTTATCTTCATCTAACTATGTCTAAATACAAATGTGTAAATCAGTTATCTGCTCACCACTCATTGCGTGCGTCTGTCGTGGCGCGTCTTCGTTGGTTGACATAATGGCCTACATCAACCAATTAGGAACTACTTGTAAGTGCAACAGAATATTTGTCCTTATGACAATATTCTGAGAATATAACTCTTGTAGTTATATTCTATTAACAATTTCTTATAAATTGTTATGTAACGATTCACCCCGTTACAGTATCACTATAATGTTAGCTGTTGATCCGGTTAAGCTGGACCAACAGCTTGCCAAGAACAACCCAGCACCTATAACAACAATGAATCGATGCACATCACAACGTCGTCGTGTCGTGGACACTCTGAGCTAAAGACGACCTCGATCAGTAAGAAAAAAAGTAGGAGTGCGTGATGTAGGAAATCAATATGGAAGCAAGTCTAAGATGACGGAAAATCGCAGAAGCTAGAGCATCAAGTAAATATCACAGGGTCTGCCAGCAGCTCTGCTACGTCCGGTCAGGCTGAGTTGCTGCTAGGTCTTGCGCTAGCAACGATACTGTGATGTGTCGATCAAAGGACGTATATTCCATTGATGAAGTTGCTCGAAAAATACGGGATGCAGAAACTCGTAGCATAACGACCACGAGTTGTGTGGTCTATCTTTAACGAACATTGTATTAGCTGTCTCGAAATAGAGTAATTGCGCGAATCGCCGTAGCTTGAGCGACCTTAGCACGTGTCCAAGCCTTGTCGGTCGGATTGAAATCCTCACGGTCGATCGTTGATATTATGCGACTGTCATGGCGAGCCCGAACGGTGAAGCTATTTGTGAGTGTGCGCAAGGCTGAATACTAACCAATAAATCGTACTTATTGGTGTGTGTTTGTGCCGGACTATAAATAACGCGGCTAGGTGTACCTGACTCGCACTAAGTGCGATCAAGCATGTCCCCCTCATAGGTCGATTAGCATGATCGGTGGTGTCATCACCTCATGGCTAGGTCAACATTGTTATGCACGCACCTGATTGGCTCAACATCGATCAAGATGAATACGTTGCTTAAGTATACTGTACTGTGTTAATACAGACATCGACAGCATCACTTTCATTCTTCAGTGTCTGCCGTTGTATAGATTTTTTCCAACTTGATCCATTCTCTGAACTGAATTGCTTAAATCAAGGGGCGAGTTCCAGAGCTTGTTCCCCTATCTCGCAGAAGTCGACTATCGAGCATAAAAAGTCGTAGAGTCATATGGCGCATAGCTTGTCTCATCCTAGATGCGTGGAGCACGACCAAATTAGTAAATGTTATTTGCGCTCTGCCTGGAGCTATCACATAACAACGGTCCCTAATTCATCACGGTTATGCACGAAGCAGTAAGTTACGAATTCTTTCAAATTGTTTTTGTTTTATCAGAATCGTGTCTATCATTGTCCGTTTAGACATGGTAACCGTCTGTGTGTACCGAGAAGAGATGGTGTCTGCTACTGAAATCCTCAGTAGGGTGATCTGTAGTGTAACGGGGTGAATCGTTACATAACAATTTATAAGAAATTGTTAATAGAATATAACTATAAGAGTTATATTCTCAGAATATTGTCATAAGGACAAATATTCTGTAGCACTTCCAAGTAGTTTCCTAATTGGTTGATATAGGCCATTATATCAACCAACGAAGACGCGCCACGACAGGCGCACGCAATGAGTGGTGAGCAGATAACTGATTTACACATTTGTATTTAGACATAGTTAGATGAAGATAAATAGTGATTTATTGCAGACATTAACTATACTAAATACAGTTCTACTTTTTACTTTAACCAAGTACTCGCTTCTTCTTACCGTCTTCCTCTGCACGTACGAGTGTACGTGAAGTTACGAGGCACCGCCTTATTCTGTTATCAGAATAAGTAGCTTGTACTGTCACCAGTACAAGCTACAGGGTTCCCCGTTACACCTGGTAGCACTTCGTTGTCCGTCCAAGGACCGCGTTCACATCCAACATGAATATGTTGGATGATGAAGATGACCAAAGCTTTCACGCTACGCGTGACGGCTACTCCCATTTGAGCGATGTCGAATGGGATGCGGTTGAACGAATGGGTTCGACCATGGGCATCCATGCTGTTAGCGTCATGCTAGAGGCTCTCAATAGAGATGCCCAACATGCTACTATCGCCAAGTTCATTCAAAATGAACTTGACGCTGAACGTGAGAAAGTAGCCTTGCTTCACCAACAAGGTTCTCAACAAGCAGAGTTGTTGAGAGAACAGGGTGCTCAACAGTTTGAACTGTTGAGACAGCAGCAGGCTGCTGCTGGCGGGTCGATGCACTCGCGTCGACCCGAGACTTTGAAGATTGACATCTCAAAGTATAGGGGGGTCGAAGAAGACTCCCTCTTGAGATGGTTCGTCGAATTGGATGACGCCATAAGGGCGCGTCGCATCGACGACGGGGATATGCAAGTTGCATTTGCCCAGTCAAATCTGGCAGGACGTGCCAAGACTTGGGCACTGGGGCTCAAGCTGCACGACCCATATGCGTTTGGGTCGTTGGAAGTCTTCAAGTCGCGGCTCAGACAAACGTTTGAACCGCCTAGAGCTGAGTTCAGAGCTCGAACCGAACTCTTGAAGCTCAAGCAGGGTAAGCGTGATGTGCACGCTTACGCTCAACACATACGACATCTTACGAGTTGTATAAGTTCCAATCCGGTGGATGAACACACGTTGGTTTCGGTGTTCATGCAGGGTCTTGCGGACGGTCCCGTCAAGACTCACCTGTTCCAGCTTGAACTAGATTCACTAGAACAAGCCATTTCTATTGCGGAGCAGGAAGACTTCAGTCTGAGACAGGCTCGCGCCAGCTCGACATCATATCGTCAACCGAGACGATATGACAACGGAGGTCCAGAGCCGATGGAACTCTGTTATGTAGAGAGCGAGAAGGTTCGCTCTACAGGCTACAAGAAGTTGCAGAGATGCAACAGATGTCAGAAGACAGGACACTACGCTTACGAGTGTAGTGCCCCTCGTCCAGTCTCTCGCGACACTGGGCGTAGTGACCGTCCACCCATGAGAAAGGGGCAGGGACGAGGGTCCGCAGTTGGTGCAAAGACGCAACAACGGGATGGACCGTCAAAAAACGGACAGGATCAGTAGGTGCGGAGCACCCTACTGATCCAGCAACGTCAAGAGAATTTGTAGGCCTCTTGATGAAGGTTGCTCCCAACACACAGACGTTGTGCGTTGCTGCTCTAGGTAATGAGATCTCACTCATTACCTTGAAACTCGAAGTGACGAACAAGTTGTCCCTTCGAGCTCTAGTCGATTGTGGGGCGTCCAACAATTTTGTGCGACGCCAATCGCTAGAAGATGGTCACTTTAAATTCAGTGAATGTGACACACCTCCTACGAGGATGACGGTACGTCTTGCGACAGGCGCATCCGTAACCGTCATGAAGCGTATAGTGAAGATCCACTATACGCTAGAAGATACCCAATACGACGATGACTTTATCGTATTGGATTTGGATGACAAATTTGATGTCATCCTTGGAATACCGTGGCTCAGAAGGTACGAACCACGAGTAAACTGGCAACATCGGACAGTAACGATGCCTGCCGCTTGTTCATCAGATGGCCATCTGATGAACGTTTTGGAGCGTCCACAAGCGTGTGGATGTACTACGAGTGAGTGCGATGGCCTCACTTGTGGTACGGTCGTTAGTACGACTGCACAAAACCTTAGTGTACCAAACGGTTACACTTCGGAGCAAAGTTCCGGCGGCTGTGAGGAAACACAGGCTGCGCCGAAGGTCGACCACTCGAATAAGTCGGGTGGACTGGGACAAAGATGTATCCCTAGAGAGGGGAACATCTAGAAGAGAAACAATCGATCGCTCAGGTTAAGCGAAACGATAATCCTAGATCGACTGGAGAGTCTTTCGTAGAGGATCTCGCTGTGGTTGCGCAACCCCAGCTAGAGGAAGTAAAGGGAATAAGTCCCAATATTACAAATACGGCGGAAATAAGTTCCCCGACACCCGCGGGAATAAGTCCCCGGGAAGCCGAAGGAATAAGTCCTTCGAAGCCTGAGGGAATAAGTCCCCAGGAAATGACAGAGACAATGAATGTCATAGTCAATAACGGATCATGTGTAGGCGCTTATACACTTGATCTGATTGCGCCTCCGAAGTTAACTTCGGAGATCACTCAGTTGCCAACGCTCGAACATAAAGGTTCTTGCGTGATCTGCGTAGTGGCAAAGTCAAGCAGATCTGCATACTCGTCGCTGACGACGAGTATGTAACCGACATAAGGTCAGCAACAGTGTTTACTGAGAACGAGAGAGTTCTCAGTAGTTCATCTATGGACGAGAGTGTCCTAGATGAAAAGACACGAATTGAGCGATATGAGTCCCAATCATGGGAATCGCTCAAGGAAAATCCTCTCTATGAAGATTTGGTTGAATTCAAGGATGTATTCCCTGAAACTGTTCCGTGCGAATTACCGAAGGATAAAGGTATTCGACACGAAGTCGAGCTTAAACCAGGCTCGAAGTACTGTGTCATGAAGCAGTGGCCACTGCCTCGTGAACAAGTACTTGCGATCGACAAGTTCTTTGCCGATCGTTTAGCAGCGGGCCATGTGAGGGAATCAACTTCCCCACATAGCTCTCCGACCTTCTGTGTGCGAAAAGCAACAGGAGGGTGGCGGATAGTGCACGCGTTCAACAAATTGAACGCTGCAACGGTACCGGCTCAGACGCCGATACCGAGGAAGGACGTAATCATTGATGGTATGTCAAAGAGTACCATCTTTTCGTCCATGGATTTGATGGATGGCTTCTATCAAATCCTAATGCGGGAACGGGATATACCCTATACCGCAGTTAGCACGCCTAGCGGCATGCTCTGGGAATGGCTAGTAATGCCACAAGGGCTCAGTAATGCCCCTGCCACGTTCAACAGGTGTGTATCACATCTGTTGAGGCCAGTACGAGAATTCGCGCCGAGTTATTTCGATGACGTATTCATCCATAGTCGAGCTATGGATGGAAAGTCGGACGTTGAGGTTCACAAGTACCACGTCCGACAAGTTCTTACAATCATGCGAAAGCATCAATTGTATGCAAACCTCAAGAAGTGTATATTTGCAGCAAGCGAAATACCACTTCTTGGGTGCATCGTTGGTAAGAACGGTGTACGTCCTGATCCCGAAAAGATCAAGGCGATCACCGACTGGCCTGTGCCGGTCGATGTCAAAGGTCTTCGAAAATTCCTTGGGCTAGCGGCGTATTTGCATAAGTATTCACGCAATTACGCCGAGATGACTGTACACCTCTCTCGTTTGTTGAAAAAGAACGAGAGATGGTTATGGAACGCTGAATGTCAACGCTCCTTTGAGGGTATCAAGCAGAGCTTGATACAATCCCCAGTCCTAGCAATAGCCGATCAGGACAGGCCATTTCATGTGGTCTGTGATGCCAGCGATTTCGCAATCGGCTGTGCATTAATGCAGTACGATCTTGAAGGCGTTGAACGCGTCGTCTGCTATCAGTCGCGTCAGCTGCAACCAGCTGAGCGGAACTATCCAGTGCATGACAAGGAACTCCTTGCCATGAAGTATGCGCTCGCGAAGTTCAGAGTCTATCTATTAGGAGATAGACCCTTCGTTGTTTACACTGACCATGCGTCCTTACGCACGGCAGTGAACAGCCCGCACCTTTCACAACGAATGGCGCGGTGGTTGTCATTCTTTACAGAATACAACTTTACGGTCGAGTACAAACCAGGACGACTTAATGTCGTCGCTGATGCACTCTCACGTCGTCCCGACTTTGAAACAGTCGCGAAACCCAACAGTGAGACAGTCACTGTTGCGGTTATGACGTCCTCAGTTCCATCTACAATGTTGTACGATGATGTGAGGCGGGCATACGCCCAAGATGGTGAGATAGTGAAGTTGTTGTCACATCTCTCCCAACCATCTCGAGAATCGTTGAAACGATTGTCGTCTGCGTATCGATCTGCATCAGATCGATACACTACTCGTAACGGGTTACTGTACTATACAGCCGTTTCTGGTGACACACCACGTGTTGTCATTCCAGATGATACTGATCTGCGTTTGCGGATCATGTTCGAGTATCACGATGCTCCTATAGGAGGACATCGTGGCCGAGAGAAAACATATCTCACGGTGAATCGAGACTTTTACTGGCCCCGCCAGTATCAGTTTGTGCGAAAGTATGTTCGCGCATGCGAAGTCTGCCAACGAGTGAAGTCAAGTCCTTCACTGCGTGCACCTTTACAGCCTCTACCGGTTCCGGCTGAGTGCTGGGAATCCATCTCAATGGATTTCGTCTTCGGGTTACCCAAAGACGCACGCGGGAATACGGGTATTCTCGTATTTGTTGACAGATTCAGCAAAATGGTACACCTTGTGGCTGTACCAGAGACAATCACGGCAAGTGGCTGTGCTTGTGTCTTTATTGACACCATCTTCCGACTTCATGGGTTGCCCCGTGAACTCGTATCAGACAGAGATCCACGATTCACTGCTGATTTCTGGCGTTCCGTGTTCAAATCACTCGGAACGCGCTTGAAGATGTCAACATCTGATCATCCAGAGTCAGATGGTCAGACGGAACGTGCCAATCGTGTCCTTGAAGAGATACTTCGAGGATACGTACACTCCTTTAAGAGTTGGAGTGAGTTTTTGCCAATGGTAGAGTTTGCCATCAACAACTCGGTGCATGCGTCCACGACACATACACCGTTTTACGTGAATGGCTTGCGCCATCCGCGTGTACCCACCTTACTAGAGTGTAACTCTGGTTTAAGGGGGGAGGGACTCGCGCGAGCAAAAACGATTTGGTTCACGCTCATCACGCTCTGACGAAGAAGTCATTGCGTTTGATGCCGATATCGATAACATCGATATCGAAGAAGATGATGCCAGTGAGAGTGCGGAAGCCCTCACTGAAGACAATGATCCCAGTGAGAGTGCGGAAGCCCTCACTGAAGAAAAGGTTGTTGTCGCTGCAGTGCGCTCACAGCACACTGAAGCTAACGAGTCATCAGATGAGTTCATACTGGCTCGTGAAACGGTAGTCCGTTTTGTGCAAGACTCCATCGCCGAAGCGGTGGATAAGCAAAAGCAAAACGCTGACAAGAATGGAAGGGCAAACACTCTTTTATTTAATAAAGGTGACTTAGTCCTACTGTCTACGGTTAATCTACCAAAGCATGTAGTGACTAACTTGGGTAGCAGTAAACTACTACCCAAGTACATTGGCCCATTTCGTGTATTGCACCGCCTAGGCAATGCATACACGATCGAGTTACCACGTAAGATGCGAACGCATCCCACGTTTTACGTTGGTCGGCTTAAGCCGTACCATCAGTACGCTGCTTCTTCCGATGAAGAACGCCCTTGCGCTCAAGCATCTCGCAGAGAGCCTTGTGCTCCCGATGGTGGGCATCAACAAGGGTCTGAAGAGCAGTTATCTCAGCCCGAGACCGATCAACAATCCCACGAGCTACCCTTAGCTCGTCACGAAGAGATGTCAGAGATCTCTCGTTCTCAAGCTGAGCAAAGGCAAACTCAGCTCGATGCTTCAAGGCAGTGTCCACCATCTGGAGACGCCTATTCCGCTCATGCTCGAGATCGTCGCGTAACCCTTGCGTTACGCGATCAAAGAAGCTCTCGGGAACACACCGATCCACATGATCGTGTGGAGAGCGTCTTTCCTCCTCCTCCACCTCCATTAGAGGACTCTCGCGGTGGCCAGCGCTATCTAGTTGAGCAGCTGTTGAACCACCGCGACGTGAACGGACGTCGGACGAGTTACCTCGTCCGGTGGCGCGGCTATCCCCCGTCCTGGGATTCTTGGGAGCCCCGCTCCCAATTGATGGTTGACGTACTGGGTCTGGTCGAGCAGTACGACGCGACACATCCTGTGCCGCAGAAGGACCGCCGGAGAAAGTCTTCCCGGCACGGTCGTAAAGGGATTTCAGGTTGTCAATCCCTTCGTACATCTCAGTAGAGACACGTACGCGCCACCACGGGCTGGTAAGGAGGTAAGCCTCCTTAGGTGCTCGTGCAGAGTTGTTCACACAACATGGGCACGAGTCTCCCCAAGAGAGGCAGGGTAATCCTTTCTCCCTTGACAGACGATGCAGCTTGTAGCGTGCACCTGTCGGGGTTCGCTTTTCAAACTTATCACGAGCTTTGATAAGTTTGTCGTTCCAAGCGTCACGACCTACATCCTCGAGGTTATGGATGTAGGCGTTCCACGCCTGAAGTAGTGAGGGACCATCACGTTTGTGATTCCCACTGTATCATCGATTTCTTAAGAAAGCATCGATGAAGAATTCGTGTTCAGCGCGATAGTCTTTCGCGCTGGGGTCAAGGTGATGGATCCTTGACGAATCGAACAATCGTGTTCGATAACGATCACTCGTCGTCGCCGACAAGTGATCCATGACGGATTTCGGAGGCATCCATGCCTTCTTTTCTGGAGCGAGACGCAAGACATTGCGGTCCCGCTCTTCCTGCGACGTGCCGACAGAAGTACTGGCACCTCGCTGTGAAGTGGTGTCCATTGGAGAACCGACACCACTATTAGCGCCCGAGTCTCGCGACCTCGAGCGCCTTCGCTTCGGCGATGGTTCATCTGACTCATCAGATGAACCAAAGATGCTGCGACGCAAAGCATCGTCCATGCCACGCTTGGCAGGCGGCTTGGATTCAATTGCCGTCGATACGGATCCGTCATCCGTATCAGGAGAGTACGAGACACCGAGCTCGTACTCTGTGAAGACACGAGTGTCTTCATGACCAGCGCCTGCGTCACCAAGTGACACAGGCTGGGTCTCTTCAGCAACCGATGGGACATCAGTTGCTGTTGTCTCTGCTTCGGCGTCCGCACAGAGACGTGCAGACGCGCTCTCGGCGGCCTTGCTCGCGCATCGCATGGGCTTGTTTACCATGCGATGAGATGTTGGAAAGTGGACGCGGACCAACAAGTGCAAACCCCGTCCCAAATGATTTGGGACGAGTATCCATTTAGTCAATCAGTCACTAAAGTGACTGATGGTTGAGGAGGGGGTGATGTAACGGGGTGAATCGTTACATAACAATTTATAAGAAATTGTTAATAGAATATAACTATAAGAGTTATATTCTCAGAATATTGTCATAAGGACAAATATTCTGTAGCACTTCCAAGTAGTTTCCTAATTGGTTGATATAGGCCATTATATCAACCAACGAAGACGCGCCACGACAGACGCACGCAATGAGTGGTGAGCAGATAACTGATTTACACATTTGTATTTAGACATAGTTAGATGAAGATAAATAGTGATTTATTGCAGACATTAACTATACTAAATACAGTTCTACTTTTTACTTTAACCAAGTACTCGCTTCTTCTTACCGTCTTCCTCTGCACGTACGAGTGTACGTGAAGTTACGAGGCACCGCCTTATTCTGTTATCAGAATAAGTAGCTTGTACTGTCACCAGTACAAGCTTCAGGGTGCCCCGTTACATGTAGGGTTCCGCGACCGCCCTACAGTCGGCTGTCTGAAATGCATAGTACCTCAACATGCTGCTTCTAAATACCTCCGACCCATCTTGTGGAACAATCACTGACTTAAATGGCACTGGTCTTTGTCCAAAGATATAGAAATGGAAAACCAAACAACACGAGCGAAGGGTTTCCCACTCTCGATTCGCTCAGATGAGACGATGTCGTCGGAGCCGCGGGCAAATTTCAAGTCGACAAAAAAAGAACAGTCTTTGATATCTTTGACATGGGGCAGACGACGTCTAAAGACACGCTCTTTTCCAAGTCGTAGGATCCACATCAGAAAGTCGTCGTGTCTTACCTGGTCGCAATTGTCGATAAGATCTCGTCATCGTTCAGACAAAGCACCACATCCACTCGACCTGCTCGCCCCGACATCTTTTCTTCCAGGATCTCTCTCTCCCTATTCACTTTAGAAATCCACTGGAGCCCAACCACTCGTCATGGTCCAAGGCGTTTTCAGCCTGCTGCTGCTCCTCTGGACCGGCGTCTCGGCCGTGCCTGGCGCTGACCTGAAGCTGCCGCTGCCATTCCCCGTGACGACCCACCCGCTTCAGTTACCGTCGAGTCTCTTTGCTGCCTCGGAGCGACTTCCGCTGAACGCCCATGTCGTCAATTCGTCGACGATGGGGAACCCGAAGCTGCTGGCGGACGTGCCGTTCCCTACAGGCGCTTGGTGGACGAACTTGGTGCTGGCTGAGGGTAAATCTGCCATCGCGTCCCTCCCGTACGTCTTCAAGATCCTGAGCGAGAAGCTGCACGTGAGTTACCCATTCCGAGTTGTGACGCCCACGGACATTGTCGAAGGGTTCATAGCCCAGATGGTCTTCAGCTCTCAGCCGTCAAGTATATCGTCGCTGCCCATGGCGCATCAGGTGGTGGACTTTGACGACTTTAGCACTACCGTGCGCTTCAGTCGAGGTCAGACCGAAGAGTTCCGCGTGTTTCTCGTGCGTGGCTCTCCGTATATTACAATGGAGTTCAGACACAGTCGGCCCCTGATTGAAGCCATGGACGGACTGCAGATTGTGCACTTTGAGAGGCTGCTAGGGCTGAAGCTGATGAATGGGGACGACGTGCCGTTTGCCACGTTCGCTGCGGAGCTGAACAACGGACAGACGTGGTACGTGTATGCGTCGGATTCGACTTTGGAGCTTCAACTAAACAGCAATCGACAACTAACGACCGACATGGAGTTCACGGGCGTGCTGAGAGTAGCTCTTTGTCTTGATGCCAAACTTTGGCCACATCTGCTCGAGTCGGCGTCAATATACGCTGTTGGAGGTGAAGTGGTACACTCAATGAATCCTCAAGACCCGGAAAAGGCTCTGCTTGATTTTCAGTGGAAGACAAGGAGCTTTTCGACATTTCACGGCCAAACGGACGAGGTTACGGCTGAAGAGAACGAAAAGTTGTTGATGCTGACGCTACCGCATCACCTGGATGTGATGCAAGTGCAAAAAGGTGCTGGAAAATTAAAGGAGGGAAAGAATCGAGTGTTGCCCAAGCTGAAGTACATCTGTATTCGCGGCCCGATGCAAGGCATCTTCGGGGATGTGTGGCATATGCAAGAGATGCTTACACCCGTCGAATGGAACTACGCTGAGGAGGGACTTTTCAGTGAGGATTTCAGCAGCAGCTCGGTCGACAACAAGCGGAAACGACTTAACATGCGTGAAACAGTCAAACAGGCTATTTTCCACGAGCTTTCTATTGATGCTGACAAGTACCCGCAACCATTGAGTCCTGACGTATATAACTTCGGGAAACAAGTGAGTCGAGACGCGCGGCTGCTATTGATTGCGGACAAGTTTGGACAGGAGGAAATGAAGCTCAAACTGTTGACAAAGATCGAGATGGAGCTGGTCGATTGGCTCAACGCAACAAATGCCAACCACTTTGTGTACGACCAGACTTTTGGTGGCGTGATTACAAACGATGGATGGCATAACAAGGAAGCTGACTACGGCAACGGATATTACAACGACCACCACGTACGTACCCAGTACTTTGAGCTGCACCTAGACTCGTTACTAATCTCAAGGATCTGTGTGATGTTGTAGTTCCACTACGGTTACTTAATCTACGCGCTTGCTGCGATTCGGAAACTTGATCCGAACTTCATCGCAGAAAATTCGCAGGCTTGTGCACTGCTGATCGGTGATATTGGAACGCCGCTGCTGAACAGCAACACGCCCTTTTTCAACGATCTACCGGCGCAGTTACTATTCCCAACGGCACGCCACAAAGATTGGTTCGTGGGTCACTCGTACGCTAGTGGTCTATTCCCCATGGAGGTTGGCAAGTCCCAGGAAAGCAGCAGTGAATGCATCAACGCCTATTACTCTCTCACGCTCTTTTCGTCCCTGGATAAGGACGCCAGTAATGGTCAAGGACACAGCTCATATCATCAATTCGCACGCCTTCTGCTTGCCACAGAACTGCGCTCAGTGAAAAAGTACTGGCATATGCGTCAAAACTCGGACATCTATGAGCCCGTCTTCGCGAAAAACGCCATGGTGGGTGTCGTGGGTGAGCTAAGCGTCGTGTACAACACGTGGTTCGGCAACCGTGCAGTCTACATCCACGGCATAAATATGCTTCCTTTCACACCGATCACGCCACAATTACTGGACGAGAAATTCGTCGCGCGCGAGTACCCAATATTGAGTCAAGATCTACCAGATCTGGACCCACACGACATTTGGCGCTCTATCGTTGTGATGGATCATGCGATCTTAGATGCAGCGGAAGGTTGGGAAGAGCTGACAAAAACCGTGGAGTCGTTCGATACATGGTCGTCGCGCACGAACGCCATGTATTGGATTGCAACTCGTCCGTCATGGTTTGAACAAAAGAATCGACGGGAGCTACGTGGTCCACCCGTTGACGTGGAAACAACGTGCTTTGGGTATCCGGCTTGTGCTTCCGCAGGAGTAAATGGCACGGCACTAATGTGCTGTGGCACGTTGCCTGGGTGCTGCCCGAGTGCGCTTGGTTGTTGCCCACAAGATTCGTCCGATGATCTGCCGAGCAATGCATGCTATGGTGAACATGAATGCGCTGTGCTAGGACTTGGCTGCTGCAACAGCATCGATGGTTGTTGTGACCCCGATTCTGTCTCCGGCACCGTGCTAGGCTGTTGCAAAAATCAACACGTTTTGGCAAGCAACGTGACTTATAAGGCGGAGGGTCAGCTGAAGGGCTCGGCGTTTTGCTTTGGTGAACCACTATGCGAAGCAGCCAATCTCGACTGCTGTAGTGCACCAGGTGGCTGTTGCTCGAACGCAGAAAGCAAATTGGGCTGCTGCTTATCAAAAAAGACTTCAGCAGCCGGATCCAGTGCCCCTCACTCTGGTCAAGACTCTTGTCACGGACAGCCTTTGTGTGGTGCTGCTGGTCTGGATTGCTGTAGCTGGGATGGAGGTTGCTGCAAGCCCGATCCCGTGACTGGAGGAAAGTTAGATTGTTGCCAGGATGAGCGTGCTGACAAGCCATCACGCGACACACGTCCTGTCCATATTGGTAATGTCGAGGAGAACGACGGTTCACAGGACAGCCCAGGCGAGTTTAACTCTGGAATCACCCGCATCTTGATCGGTCTAGGGATGGCGATCATGCTCGTTTTGACGGTGTATGCTGTAGGTTTGTGCTACCGACGCCGTGGCTACTCCAACATTGACGGTGACATGCGCGCGCTTTACTGTGCCGGGTTGATGGTCGGCGTCATCGCCTTCTTCATTTTCCTAGTCGTGACATCTTAAGCGCGCAGTGAATAGCTGCTATGACGAGACTGCTTCTACCAGCATTTTGCTCAAGATGAAGTTTTTGAGTGCATTAGCTATAGTAAACCTAAGCTAGTACAGAGGAATCGAGCGAGAAAGGCTTCATTGTTACCAACGTAATCAAGATCGACATCAAACACGCAAGTTTGCCGCTGATGTGGAAGATTTTTCAACCGTCCGACGCACCTTTGCTTAACTGAGTTCACGTACACGACTCCACCAGGTCCAATGCAATCGAGTATATGTGCCTTCCGGGAGCGACTTGCTTTGTGTAGGCCGCTACAATAAGCAGTTCCTTTCCTAATGCAGCGTCCAACAACTAGTCGTTGGAGTTGCACGAAAGCGCAGCGCATGTCCTCGGCATTCCGTCGAGCACCGTAACCCTAAAACTTCGGTACACCAACTCGCACGAGCACCACCACGTCAGGTCCGGGCAATCAGCTCTCCCTCAAGTCTCAATCTCGTCTCTTTTGCAGTGCTTGGGTTCGTTCAGGTGTCTATCCGCTCTCGAATAACTGCAAACAAGTCAACGAATCCACCCAAGGAGGAACAACAAGCAAAATCACTCTGGTCTGGTCAGCTCTGCTCCCGTCTGCTTTCTCTGCCATTCTGCTCGTACACGTGCTGAAGGTAACTGCTCTGCTGCTGCTGCTGCACTCTTGTGCGGCACTAAAGTCACACTAGTCCCGCGCATCAACTAGTCACGACGAGGGGGCGAGGAGCTCAAGCGCCGCGGCGAACGACTGCGCGCACGAGGAGAGCGGCTGCGGCTCCGGTCGTGCCCAGCGCTGGCGCGGTCGCGATCACGGCGGTCCGGGGAGCGCGATCGCGAGCGACGGCGATGACGGTCTTCTCTGCGGTCTTCATGGCGGCGGTCATCCCTGCGGTCATCGTGGCGGCTGCTGCGGCCGCGGTCTTCGCCATAGCGATCGCTCCCTCCTCCTCTTTCTCCTCCGCCACCGTAGCGGTCACTGCCGCCGTAGCGGTCTCCACCGCTTCCACGCGAGTAGAACTCCCGTGGGTTGTCAGGTCGACGCTGTTTGGCGAACTGCACGCGCAGGTCCCGGCCCTGGAACTCTTGCCCTTCCATGGCGTCGATCGCGTCTTCGGCATCGCGCTTCTCAATAAAGCGCACAAAGGCAAAGCCACGCGATTCGTTGGAGCCGCGAGAGCGCGGAATGTACACGTCTCCGATCTCTCCGTACTTGGAAAAGAGGTCGCGCAGCTCGTCGCTCCTGTACAAATAGACGAAACAATCAGAGGGAGGAGAGGGAGGGGGGGGGCCTCGCGTCAGAGAGGAGACTCGATGGTGGACAGACTATCGACTGAGGGAGACAGTCACTAGCGCACCCGATCTGGAACGGGACGTTGTCGACCTTGAGCGTGAACATGCTGTCGACGTTGGGGGGCGCCATTTTGCTGCGGGGATTGATCGAAAACCGATGGACTGGCGGTGGGTTAGCAGCAGTTGGGGGGATACGACGTTCGAAAGAAAAGACGTCGATTGGATAAAAAGTTGTCACCGTCGTTCAGTAACCTACTTCCTACATAAGCACGGAAAAACTCGTCCGAGTAATAGACGAGGCCAGCGACGTTTTGTAGAGCGACAACTAACTGAACACGAGATGAGCCATTCTGTTCCATTTTTCCATCCGTCAGCTCGCAATTGTGAAAACCATTTTAGTAGTAATGGTGCAACGGCCTCTTTTGGCACATTCTATGTACTCTTTTTCGACAGACTGATATCTATGATAGCGTGCAGAGTTGCATGCCTAGACTATGGCAACTTGTGCTGAGTAATGTGTCAGGAATGGTAGTTGAACTAGAATAAGGGCGTTTAAGACCGCGAATGTAGAAAGAAACGATCTACGTACATCTAGAGTGAAATAAGGTGTCCGTTTAAAGATGTTCACGAAAGATAACTGTCAATAAAATCGGAGAACTTATGTAGAGCACAACGTTTGAATTTGCTAACCATTTAAACTGTCTAAACTAATACTTTGCCTAAAATAAAGATAGAGAGTCTGCAATAGAGCTCCCAAAAAAGTGTAATTCAGGGTAAAGAATTGAGGGGTAATTGCAAAAGGTGACAATATTTTAAGGATTTACCAGAAGGTGACAGGATAGTCTTAAAATCGAGATATTTTCAGTTTATAACACAGCCGCAAATTTCGTCGATCACCAGTGTGTGCAGGAACCACTCTTCGTCTTACAGAGTACCAATACGATAAAGGACCAGAAGATTGATGTTGCAAGAGAAAGAGTCCTGTACACTCTAGCAAAGTGGTCCATGCCGCAGTTTTCGGTGTTAAGAAGTGTAGGTTCGATTCCGACGTGGACGCAAAGAACAGTATTTCGTGAAAGCTTGCTGTAATTGCCTTGTACATTACTTGACTGGACCTGGACGTAAAAAAAATATCAGTGCAGATCTATTTAGTATGTGTTCATATCAAAGTGAGTCCTTTAGGTCAGACCGATTCTTTGCTCGCGGGACTACGTTCTCATCTAACAACAATCAACGGTCACTTCCAACAAGTTAAATGGAAATTGTTCTGGGTGCATACATTCTCCGTTGGAAGTCAAAAGAACCTGTGTCCTAGAAGTCAGAGAATTAAATTCGCAAGTAAATGAAGAGAACGACAGGTTTTTTAATGTCAGGCCTCATCAAGGCGGATGGTCGCACGTTTGTGTCCATTATTGTTACAACACTTCCGGCACTGGTACGGTCTACAAACCCGGTCACAGGTTTCCTTCCCGCGATCTATTGCTTCTTTTTTGGAACTTCCCGCCGGACTGATACATTTGATCGTAAAGCACCTAAGTTGTCAACAATACTGTGAATCTTGGAAATTATCATTGCACCGGCACAACCTCGAGTTGCAAGAATATGCTTTAGGTAGGGCTGATGCTGATGCGACGCTTTGTGAGCTTCGAACATAGAACTAGGATAGCAAAATGCTCTCTGTAGCTCGTGCCTCAAAAGCAGGTGTCATCCACGAACGACACATGCTACAAAATACATGTTTACCCGATGACTCGGCGGCCTCTACAGTAATAGATATGTTGCTTGAAGAATTCTGGATTTAGCATTGCACGGTTAGACCACATCGAGTACTCAACAGTCGTCATCGATCTTATTAATCGTGACGATATTGTTATCCCAATCGTCTAGTGCTTGGTAGTTGGCATCGAGCTTAATCATCAAGATTGGTCAATATATCGGTATTGTTGTCTAATTCGTCGAGTCCAGTCGTATCACCCGTACGATTTCTCTCAGTCTCGTCCTCTGCGACTTTCATCATTGAGGAGAAATCATTCGCCACTCTTTGGATGGACGTATAGCATCAGCACATTGTAAATCAGCTGCTGGTCGTCATAGGAGCATTTTTAGCTCTATTGACACACGAAGACACTATAAATGCCCTAGCCCACACGAAAGCAGATTCATGGCGATCCCGCTCGTTTAGCATCACGGATCGAAACTCACTGGATGCATTAGGAGCGCAAACCCATCTGAGACCCTCAAGTTTGGCCAACAAATCACAGGTTGTGGGCATCGTGTATTTTGTACCTGCAGTGATTTGCATTAACTAATTTGTAGTTGATACGAAGCTAGACATCGACGCCCTTTTTTTAAAAACAAAAATTTGGGAAAGCCCACGGGGTTTGCAAAAATGGTGTAAGTCTATCCTTCAGCGATACATTGAGGAGTCATGAAAAATGTGGCGAGAGGCGTAGAATTACTCGTAGATTAAGGTTAGGAATGAAATTAAGCATCGATTTTGAACACATCCTCGTACGCGGTCGGTGATAGGGCTTTTCTACTTTGTACTATGATGTTTGCATGCTTCTCCAGATTGACCATTTGAGCACACTGGACGAAGCTATGCGCAAGACAGATCACAATCGTCTCAGTGTAATCCATCTTGTAGGGTTCAACTCCGTAAGATCCGGGAGGGAAGCAATTGTTTGTGCGTAATCCACCAAATTATATCGCCGACAATGTGCTCAAATTTGGATGAGTTAGTGGAAAGTGCTACCAAGATATATTCACGACACATTCGGTTAGTCTCTGTCAGTGTGCAGAGAACTCGAAGGTCCAAATCATTCAACAGCGTACTATACGTGTCAATTGACGCTTCACTGTGTTTACTTGCTTCGTCGAAAAGGGTGTTCAAACCCGAACCGGCACCTCATAAATCATCATCATTATATATTTTCTCAAGCTGGACAGATCGGCCCCTCTTATTACCCTCTCCTCCACTTTAAATGTATATCGCTGTGAACAGCCTATTCATCGATGTTGCGTCCGCAAGACGTCTAATGCCGTCTGAGTCGCCTTCTACCACCTACTCCTCACTCAACTTGTACGCAATCCGATCAATTCGTGGTCGAAACTATGCCACGTCCTGGTTGTTAGTTGGTGTTTTCATCCAAGAATTCGGTTAAGTACTCGCCAACAGGTTTGTTCCATCGGGAAATAAATGTAGGTTGCGTGTAGGCTCGTCTCTCGACTGACGAAGGTCGTTGACCCAACCATTCCAGATATACCTCTGATCTTTTCTAAAGAAGTGTGTGTTTGTAACGTGCTCATATGCCAGCACCTTTAGTCTGTAACGGGGCACCCTGAAGCTTGTACTGATGACAGTACAAGCTACTTATTCTGACGACAGAGTAAGGCGGTGCCTCGGAACTTCACGTACACTGGTACGTGCAGAGGAAGACGGTAAGAAGAAGCGAGTACTTGGTTAGAGTAAAAAGTAGAACTGTATTTATCATAGTTAATGTCTGTTAATAAATCACTATTTATCCTCATCTAACTATGTCTGAATACAAATGTGTAAATCAGTTATCTGCTCACCACTCATTGCGTGCGTCTGTCGTGGCGCGTCTTCGTTTGTTTATATCATGGCCTACATCAACCAATTAGGAACTACTCGTAAGTGCTACAGAATTTTTGTCCTTATGACAATATTCTGAGAATATAACTCTTTTAGTTATGTTCTATTAACAATTTCTTATAAATTGTTATGTAACGGTTCACCCCGTTACATCACCCCCCCCTTAACCATCAGTCACTTTAGTGACTGATTGACTAAATGGATAATCGTCCTAAATCATTTGGGACAGGGTTTGCACTTGTTGGTCCGAGTCCACTTTCCAACAGTTCATCGCATGGTTAACAATCCCATGCGATGCGCGAGCAAGGCCACCGAGAGCGCGTCCGCACGTCTCTGTGCGGACGCCGAAGCAGAAACCACAGCAACTGATGTCTCATCGGTTGCTGAAGCAACTCAGCCTGTGTCACCTGGTGATGCACGCGTTCGTCATGATGACACTCATGTCTTCACAGAGTACGAGCTCGGTGTCTCGTACTCTCCTGATACGGATGACGGATCCGTATCGACGGCGATTGAATCTAAGCCGCCTGCCAAGCGTGGCATGGATGATGCTTTGCGTCGCAGCATCTTTGGTTCATCTAATGAATCAGATGAACCATCGCCGAAGCGAAGGCGCTCGAGGTCGCGAGACTCGGGCGCTAACAGTGGTGTTGGCTCTCCTATTGACACCACTTTGCGACGAGGTGCCAGTCCTTTTGTTTGTACGTCGCAGGAAGAGCGGGACCACAATGTGTTGCGTCTCGCTCCTGAAAAGAAGGCATGGATGCCTCCGAAATCCGTCATGGATCACTTGTCGGCGACGACGAGTGATCGTTATCGAACACGGTTGTTCGATTCGTCAAAGATCCATCACCTTGACCCCAGTGCGAAAAACTATCGCGGTGAGAATGAATTCTTCATCGATGCTTTCTTTAAGCATGGATGGTACAGTGGGAATCACAAACGTGATGGTCACTCATGCTTCAAGCGTGGAACGCTTACATCCATAACCTTGAGGATGTAGGTCGTGACGTTTGGAACGACAAACTTATCAAAGCTCGTGATAAGTTTGAGAAAAGAACCCCGACAGGTGCACGCTACAAGCTGAATCGTCTGTCTAGGGAGAAAGGGTTACCCTGCCTCTCTTGGGGAGACTCGTGCCCATGTTGTGTGAACAACTCTGCACGAGCACCTAAGGAGGTTTATCTCCCTAATAGCCCGTGGTGGCGCGTACGTATTTCTAGTGAGATGTACGAAGGGATTGACAACCTGAAATCCTTTTATGACCGTGCCGGTAAGACTTTTTCCGGCGGTCCTTCTGCGGCACAGGATGTGCCGCGTCGTACTGCTCGGCCAAACCCAGTACGTCAACCATCAGTTGGGAGCAGGGCTCATAAGTATCCCAGGACGGGGGATATCCGCGCCACCGGACGAGATAACTCGTCCGACGTCCGGTCACGTCGCGGTAGTTCAACAGCTGCTCAACCAGATAGCGCTGGACACCGCGAGAGTCCTCCAATAGAGGTGGAGGAGGA